TATAAGCAACACCTTTAATTTTGTATAGTAACACTTATTAATTGTTTAAATGCACTCTGCTGGCAGTAGGCGGGAACTTAGTCCTGCAGTGGATCTGAAGAATTAGATGAATTCAAATGCCCATCTCCTTGCATTCTTGATATCAGATAAAGCATTCGCATTCTCCTTGTGTACCATTTACTAAAGGAAGAGTTGAAGAAAGCGTTGATGACTCTTCGTCGGATCTGCTCTGACGCTCGTGATGTGATGTCAGCTGTTAAATCAGCCGCATTTTCGGCACTTACCGGTAAATGCAGTGGCTCCTCGGGTTAATTGGAAACATGTTACCCTTGGTTTACGAATCCATCAGAAGGCTACTGTAGCTAAAAGTAATTGGCGAATTTTAGTGCTCTTGAGCCGACGTTTGAGGCTTACTAATGCTGTGAAGCTTAAGTTACGTGAGCTAAATATCCGTCTTTATTTAGCCGATTCGAAAGGATCTGTTGTGGTTTTCATGGGCCCGTTAATATTAAACCGAGGATAGATAAATATTATACTGACTGAGAACAACAAAGATATGCCATCTTCCTTTTAAAAAAGGAAACTTGCAGAGTCGATTCTTCTCTTTTTACAATTCACCTCAAAATGTAGGCGCTGTGTTAGGAACGTGCATGGGGTTACGGTGGAATGACGTTCGTCACTAATCCCGCACTACTTCAGCTCATTCCAGCGCATTCCAGTGAATGCATTTTCTACTCCCGTTACCAGATTCGAGCTGGCATTTCAAAAGTTAAATCCTTCGATTTTAACCCCTTTTTTACTCTAGTACGTAATTATACATTGGCCAAACACCCCTCTACTCTTGTATTATCTTTGGATCGCAATACAATTATTCTTGGCACATTTCTCTTTGCCAATCCTAACAAACATCTAAAACCAGCTTAGTAGTAGTGGGAAGAGCATCGGCCTAGTACCTTAGTAAATATGTCTGTTTATTTAATCATCTAAATTATGCACTTTTGGCATCAAGGTCTCCAGCTTTTCAGATCTTTTCTTGCCATTTTTTGATGCTCATCTTACAGCAGAATTTGGTACGATCGCTACTTCCTATCCTTCGAAGAAAACTTGGTTATTGAGATCACACAACTGGCTCAATGTGAGACATCAAGGTCTTGGCACAATAAACTGGCAGCACGGTATGTTAGTTACTTAATCTAATACGCCATGTTTATGGCAGTCTTGTAAGAATGGAGTCGCTATGCTCGTTGGATTTACTTCTGTGATTGACATGCTAAATGCTCATTTAATTTAAGATGAAAAACAGTCTTCTAATTAGGCGTCATGGGTAATCGTTCACTTTGCTTGTTTAATTGTAAATACGAAATAGTACTGATGTGATTAGATTTTGGAAAATGAGTTTGTGAAAACTCGCGATTTGACATTACACTATCGTCCAATAAGTGAACCTCAATGCATTTCTCATTCTTTTGCAATCATAGCAACTTTTATAGTTCCTGTATCAAATCATTAAGATCAGATTGCGAACAGCAGGCTGTCTTCAGTGAGAGTGAGCAGTAGCTTTTGTGTCATATAAACTTGCCAAGGTCTTAGTTGGCCAAATAGTGGCGAAACATTAGTGTAAAGTGTACATTGGTAGCAACCGTGACGAGCATTTAATGAGTGTGGCATCAACAAGGGCAGAAAACCGTACGAGCAATGGAAGTCTCCAAATTTGTTGCACTTTTTTATCATTTGCGTCATAGTTTGCATGAGTATATCATACGAGTGCGCACTATAATACTTCAAATGTGTGACAGCCATGCTGTATGCCTTGATCAACGAAGAAATCAGGAAGCCCATATTAGTTAAGATGTTAACTTTCACTAGACGAATAAATATAAGTGCGAGTTGGAAAATAAACCACCTACGACAAGCTGATGTCATTTTTCCCTACGTTTAATTGATTATTCCGAAGGCTAATTTCGATTAGCAAACAAAAAATTACTTGCCGTTTTCATTGGTCCATCGAATGCTCCTCACTGCCAATCCCTCACGTCCGCACCAAGCACGCCGCAGGACGATTGGACGATGTGTTGAAATCGTAAGCATGCCTCTCAGAGAGCAAGGCTGGACGCAAGTCCTTGTACGTAGACCTTGGTAGGGGATGCTACGGAAGTAAGAGTACTGTCTTGTGTTTGTGACCTTTTCACTTCTGTTTTGGCTCACTCTCTGGAATAAAGTAGTATCCAATCAAGAATCTCCATCACCATGTCCTCGGGATGCTTCCTTAAAGGCAGGTTAATTTCATATCAATCTTATCCTTTGCAAAGTAGATTAATTCCTTAAATCTTTTTTTCGTATTACTGGTCTGAAGGATAAGATGAATTGCACCCAACTTGTTATTCCTTAGCCAGAATTGTCAAGCTGTTACTGCGTGTCAATAAGTATGCATACCAAATTATAAAATGCATATATTTCGAGTGCTCTTTTTGCATGCCAATAGTTATTTTAGCTGTTGAAACTCATTTCCATCTACCACTTCGAAAATTGGGGTTACAAGTAGTTGGATTATAATGCAACAGCACTTTATTTAACTTCTACTGCACGTACTTGCGATGCTCAAATCCGCCTACCAAAGAGGCGAGATTGTTCACGTAAGCGAAAGGTAGTCTATACTTCACATTAAGTGGCATTCACAGCGTAACCATGCCAAGGTACGCGTCGAATTGGCTTGCAACAACGGCGATAGTAGACCGCTGGTGGCAATCTTAACATTAAAGCATGGAAATCGGCCTCTAAACTTCCATTACGTAAGCTATAACCGTTTGTTCGAAGTCCGAAGTCCACGTTAGATTGTTGACTCATTCACGAGACATCGTAGCTGCAGTTATATGAGACCGGCAAGCTTATCAACAAGAAATTGACTATTTGTCTTACTGCTGGTTACCACCCTAAGCAGCTGAGTTTCATATGGACTTCTGCTGTTTTGATACTGCAATAAAAGCAATGGCTAAGCAATGTTAAGTTGCCGAACAATCTTGTCAACGATTCCTATGCATTACTACAATATCATTGTTTTACCCGATAGATCTATCAATTATGCAGAGTGGACAAACGAAAATGCGTTTACGCTTTAACCACCATGCAAGAGAAATTGTACATCAGAAAAGTACCAAATTTCTGTGTGAGTAAAGTTGCAATGCAGCGATCGTCGATTAAAATGTCGTGCAAGACATGGGTTATCGGCAGTAATCGGTCCCATTTTTCACTGCTCTCTTAATTGCTTTTACTTCCTTTATAGTGCGATGCTTCTGCTGCGGCCTTTCCTTTTACTTTTGCTGCTCTCCTTGCGTGGCTCGCACATTTACCTGTGCTGCGCTTTGTCTTCTAGAATAGCGACATCATTTTTGCCGCTTTCATTAAGCATTTAACTCTTTCGAACGAATCTGGTGTTTTCATGACATTTGAAGGCTACTCCCATAAAGAGTAGTTTTTGGTGGCGCCGATTGTACATGGTTCACATTCACCTTTCAATGTCATAAATTAAAATCGTGCTTTTTTCTGGAATATGTATTAACCGCATCTTCATTGATATTTACCTAATAACTGCTACCAAATAGGTTTGTTTCGCCTACCTTTTGATGAGAGTGATGACAAATGCATCAAATATTTGTACACTTCAAGTTATAAACCGCCTCACAAATAGGTTTTCTTTTTAGCACAACTAAATGCGGTTCTTAACTTCATGAAGTCGCCATTTGCAAAAGCTATGATTTTATTGCATTTAAGACGATAGTTACCTTGGTTTGGGACCACCTGCAGAAGTTCAGTAACGCGTTGCCTCACCAAGCGGATCTAGTAGCTGATTTGATTGAACTCTTGGGAAGGTCCACCAGTAACTCTGGCGTTGGCAATGGTTTATCCATTTGAATTAAGTGTTCAGCGTACACGGTTTTCCTTGGAAATGTGCAGGTCATGGCAACCCTGCCATCTGCATTGCGCCACATTACTCCTTTGCTTACGTGTATTATTTGGACCAAAAATCTGGAGGGCAATTAGTAGCGCAACCATTGTAGCAATCATGCTGAAATGGGTAGCCATTGAGCACAGTTACCTTGTGCCGCGTCAAATCGTGCATAACAGCAAGGGCTGCCCCAAGGCTACACAGATATGGACGCCATGTGGAGCGTCGAAGGAATGCGAGGAATGTTTTGTTCGGTCGGCTTGCAAGACTACGATGTCTCTCACATTAATTATGCGTATCAGTGACTAACTTCACGCTTGGTTACTGTTGTCTACGTAAATCTTGCACTCAGCGAAAATCAAAAGAACTCGCTTAAACGCTATTCGGCTTTCATCTCCAGCGTCGCATATTTGAAAAGTGAGTGATTACAAAAAAAGCAATCACTACCTTATGTAAAGTTAGCGTAATGAGGGACTCAGTGGTTAATTTGTTCCTACGGTAAAAAAAACGTGAATTTGATGCTTCCTTTATGTTCTTATCTCTTGCAGCTCCATCAGTGAATGCTTGTCCAACGCTATATACCATTAAAATCACTTTTGAGCTATTCTTTTGAGTCTTATATCCAGAATGAAGAAGGACAGTAATTGTTATTGTCTTTTCTAACTTAGCACAATAAAGAACATCAATCTTCTCATTATTACGTGGCACAGACTAGTTGTCTAACTTTTGGCAATCAACCAAAATTAAAGAACGGAGAGAGCTAGTCATATAATTGCATTACTAATACTTTGTGGCATTGTGAATGTTTATTATGTTTGTAATGGTTTTCATCACACAAAAGGCTCGTATCACGAACCCAAACATCCGCCTTTTGCGGGTGAGCTGCACAGCATGCACGACGGAGGAGGAATTCAACTGGGGATGGAGGCTACGATCTAGTGGTGGTGTACCGCTCCGCTGTATTCCACTTCGAGGAACGCGAACGTATTCGTGGGGCACCAAGTGGTCTGCTGTAGTGCCCATGGTAGCACAGCCGCGTACAGACGGCGGGGGCAGCCCCTTCCACATGAACGGTGGTTTTGATCCTCGCCTACCAGAGCGTGCAGGTGCTATTGCACAAAATTGGGCTCTTCGCTCCTCCGAGGCCCGACGCCACCTCTTCACCGAGGCTGACCGCTACTGCGACTTCATCATTGTGGACTATATAGACACTTACATCAACCTTACCTACAAACTCATCACCAGTCGCCGCTGGGTCTCAGCATTTTGTAGAGACTTATTGATGTCTACCTTCTGTTCATGCAAAGTCACATTACCAATGTTGAGGGCAATAGTATCCTGTGTCAGCTTTTGGCTGTTTCAATCTTGTCTCAGAATAGTACTACTTGGAATGAATAATATGATCTTTGAAGAGTATGTCGACACAGCAATATTCGTAACATGCTTGTGTGGGGAACACATCGACAGAAGACATTCCCTACATAAGTTAATAAAGCAACCAAAAAAGTAAATTTTTGTAATAAATGCATTAACAATTGATTCGATTCATGAAATGCCATGTTCAATGTTTGTAGGGAAGGCAACAGTTTGGATGGGTGTTTAGTGATGGAATGGAGCTAACTCGCAAAGGCGAGATACTACCTAGCAGATAAGTTAGAGCATCATATCAATATTTGCACTTTCAAAGCCATTACCACCGAAATCAAGGTTTTGTTAAAATCTGCTTATGGCAACTTTAAATCAACTGTATCAAATTAAAGCAATTTAGCAAATTGACAACTTAAATGCGCGAAAATACTGCTTGAGTAAACTTAAGTCACTTAGTAAATTAATCAGAATCCACGTCTACTCTACCAAAATATTGCGCTTAATGATCTTGCAGGACCAGTGACATTCCCTTAAATTAAGTTTGCCATTGCACAAACCTTTTGCGTCTCCTGCCACCCCTTCCAAAACTTGCCCAGTAGCACAACTTCTAGTACCCACATCATTAAACACACATCTGTGTGTGTGTGTGTATGTGCCTAAGCATTCATCTCGTGTAGTGCAATCATTAGCCAGCATATCGAGTAACTCAAACTGAACAGTGTGATGGCAGGGCGCAGGTGAAATTTTCACTCTGTAGGTTCGCCGAGGATGCGTTTTGGTGTGCCAAGAATCACCCAAAATATCCAAGATAAGCGTTTTTTTTAGAAAGGCAAAAAAGGGAGGAAAGCATGTTTTAAATGGGTTTGAGATTTATAACCTTGACCCTGCTCATCCTTAGTAAGAGTTTACTGTGTACTTATGCACCACCATCTTTCAGCAAAGAATTTCGTTGTAGAGTTCAGAAAGAGCTCACTCATCCATCCAATCTCTTTATCAATCTTACCTAATAAAACTCTTATAACGTAGTAAAGGTTGAGAAATTGAGCCTGATATGACCCTTTGGCATGGTTCCTAAAGCAACTTGTCATGAGCATGTTACAGTGGTCTACAGGGATATTAAAAGACCAAGTTGCCCATTTAAAACCTGATGCCTTCGGCAGTGTAGGTAAGGCGGGAGAGGGAGGGGTGGGAGAATTGACTGTTGAAAGTTTGATACATAAATATTTATCCGATGTTTTCCTTTACCTTGACAATGACTACAAATACAACGTGAAGAATCGTCTAAATTACGTATGAGATTTGCACCGTCAAAGGGCCGTCAATTACTCAGTGAACCATGGATAACATGGCGGCGTGTAATTCGACCCTCTAAAAACGCAGATCATAATAAGTGAGCCATCACTCCTCAGGAGGTGCCATGACCACGCCTATCCCTCTCCATTTGGGGCGCTGAGGTGCTTAATGAACTGGTGGTAGCGGAAGCATACACAAATTTCCTTTGGGTGGACGACGCTTACCTGGGTTTTGTAGCTGTCAGCAGAGTGCATTTAAACAATTAATAAGTGTTACTATACAAAATTAAAGGTGTTGCTTATA